ACAGAATTTGGAACTGATGCGGCTGATTTGGCCGGAGACACAAAAGTTCAACAACAACAAAAAAAGAAAAAAACGGGGAAGAAAGAGTACAAATTCCTGTAGTGGTTGAGACTTGTTACTCACTTGTTTCTACAAAGCTGATATTCTTGTCCTGCTTTGAGCAGGGGCTTGGACTAGATGTGACCTCCTGAGCTCCCTTCCAACCCTAATTTTTTCTATGATTCTAAATGCAGCCCTGCTGCTGTTATCTGTGTCTCTGTGTGACAGCCCTTGTGTAATGCTTACGTGTCTATCTGGGCCCTATACGCAGTCAGAGAGTTGGGAACAATTTGTGTCTTAACTGTATCAGGGCAAAAATGTTTGAATGGACGGGGCCAGGTGATTGTCTGTGTGCACAGGCCCTCCCTTCCCAAACTGTCACATTTATATGCATACTAATGTTGTAAGAGAAAATTGTGCAAAGGTCACTGAGGAGTCAGTACTCTCCATGCCTGCTGAGCTGGAGGGACCTTCATATCAGAAGAAACAGAAGAGGCTTCAGAGAGACTCCACCCAGGAGGCTCCAGACTGAAGCTCTCCTAGGCTGACCCCTGCACTAAACTCAACTGCACAATTTTGAGGCTGCACAATTTATGGCGATGGGGAATCACTCCTGGGATTTCCCTCTAACTTGCTCCTTTGGCCTTTTGGACAGGAGCAGGTGAGACTAGGACGCATCTGAACTCCAAGGTCTCCGGCACCTAAGATGCCTGCTATGGATTTGGGAATATCTGAAGCCCCAGGCTGAAGAGTCTGGGAGAAAGGATACTTGCCGGTGGTAGCGCCGCACAGACTTGAACCATTGAGCTCTGCTCGGCCGACAGAATTTGGAACTGATGCGGCTGATTTGGCCGGAGACACAAAAGTTCAACAACAACAAAAAAAGAAAAAAACGGGGAAGAAAGAGTACAAATTCCTGTAGTGGTTGAGACTTGTTACTCACTTGTTTCTACAAAGCTGATATTCTTGGATTCACCTCTGGGTACAATTCCTTATGGGGGGTCAGATTGAAGCCTGTGCCCACTAACCCACCGGTTCTCAACCTTTTTTAACTCAGGGCACCTCCTGGAAAGTGCCGCTCTTACTTTTCACTCCTTTTTTTGTCTACAGAAAAATACTAAAGCAAATGCTTCTGTTGCAAAGAACTCAAAAAGCCCTCAGCAGGTCAGAAAGCTTATAACAATGGTTTTCAACCCTTTTTCAGACCATTTGCAGAGCCCTAAAAAATTTCAAACTGAGGTGCAGACCCCTTTGAAAATTTTAAACGGGAGTGTGGACCCCTTTGAATTCGAAGTGTGGGTATTCACATACTTTTGATGGATCATAGTCATCTTTCGCGAACCCCTCAGACAAAGTCTGTGGACTCCCAGGGGTCCAGGGACCACAGGTTGAAAAACACTGTTTTAACACTATGGATTCCTATTTGACATCTCTGGATTTATCCTGTGAATCATGCTTGCACGCCTAACAGTGTTAACACTGCGTGGCACCCTGTAGCACCCTTGAAAGGATTTCAAGGTACCTGGTGGAGAAGAGCTACAGTTCTTCAGCCTGCTCAAGATCAACTTGAGTTGTGTTACATGGGTCACTGGGATAGGAGAGGCTACCCTTGGTAGCAGCGAGGTATGGTGATGAGGACCAATAACCCCCCATGGCAGTGGGAGCTGTGACAGTGAAGAAGGAAGGTCTCCAGTGCTGGTGGCAGCAGTGGCGCAGTGACCCCAGTACTCATGAGGAAGCAGAGAAGTGGTGACCTGCATGGCAGAGAGGGGCAAGCAGCAGTGTGATAAGGAGCAAAAACCCCTAGCAGCGAAGGGAAATGCTGGGGCTACAGCTGCACTAGCCCAGCTAGCCACCAACTTCACCCTGTGTGGAGCTAGCAGCGAGCTCTGATCACCTGGACTGCGACAGTCTGTTAAGAAGCAATTGGGGTGGGCTGCTGACTGTTAAGGTTTCCCCCAAGATCGTTTTCTTGTCCCATTTTCCCCCTGTAACAAACCCTGACTGCTGCTTGTGAGTGGGACAGGCTGTTTGCACCAGAACACCGAGCAGTGTTTATCTCCCAAGGTTTCTAGGCAGAGGATCGGGCCAAGATAGAGTATTTGCGTAAAACCCCTAAATTTGAACCCGCCCTTGTTACCACAGCCCCGTGCCTGGTGCAAGAGTTACTTACGTAAGGCAGAAGTTAAAATCTTGGGTGGAGAGAAAGGGGGTGGTTGCACGGGGACCCACCCAACAGACATCTTCTGTGAGCTGGAGCACAAGCTCTTAATCTGTCTTGGAGGCAGGCAGGCCTAGGAGAGGAGGGAGGGACAGAGTTTGTGCACAGTGGGGCAGTTGATTAACAAAACTAATGCTCTAAAGAGCTTAAGTGGCTGGACAGAAACCAGCTTGATTAGGCAGCGCTGGTGTAAGAGATTAAGCGCTCGGGTTACCCGTTCTCCTGAAAGTGAAGCCAGTCTGCAAAGTAGGAAATGAGGGAGATCCAAGTTCCCTGCCCACACCTGTCCAAGGAGCCGTGGGGCAGCAGAACGCATGAGAAACCCGCTCTGTTGTCCCTTGGTGCGACAGGCCACACACCTGGGCCTGCCTCTTCCCTCTTCCTGCACTCACTGCATTGCAGCCTGACCTGGACTCGCTCAGCTGCCTCCCTCCCTGCCCGCATCCCATTGCAGGCCTGCCAGAGTTAACGGGCACATGCCTCCGGCTTCCTTCTGCATCACAGATTCTTCTGCCACTTAGACCCCCCAGTCAAGGGGTATTAAAATGGGACCAAGTGAAAAGTATTAAAATGGGACTAAGTGAAATGGACTGGTGCCACAGGAAGAATGAAGAGGACGACGGGAAAGAAACGGCAGACAGGAGTCTGGCATAGACTTTTTCAGTAGACCCTTTGAGGAGGGCAGTGGGTGGGGGTACGGGTATGGAAACGGGTGTGTGGGTGCACGGTTACGCAGTGTGAACTGTGTAATGGGTTTTTAGCGTGCCACAGGAAGAATGAAGAGGACGACGGGAAAGAAACGGCAGACAGGAGTCTGGCATAGACTTTTTCAGTAGACCCTTTGAGGAGGGCAGTGGGTGGGGGTACGGGTATGGAAACGGGTGTGTGGGTGCACGGTTACGCAGTGTGAACTGTGTAATGGGTTTTTAGCGTGCTTTGAGATGCCAAGTGAACCACAGAGGCCACTTGGCAGAGTGTTGGAAGTGGAGTTATATATCTATATATATCTAGCTATATATATATAGTTATATAAATAAAGTTATATAAAGTTATATAAATAAATAAATATTTATGTGTGTCTGTGTGTACGTGTGTGTGTGTGTGTATACACACACACAGAGACATATATAAATATTGATTTATTTATATTTATAGAAATAAATATTTTTGGGAAAAAAAAACAGATTCTTCTGCCACCACAGAACAAGGGAGTCTGCATCTCCTGCAAGCCCTACTCCAGCGTGGTGCTCCAGGAAAAGGTCCCCCTTCGCCTTGGGCTGAGCAATAGCTCTCCAGGTGCCCAGGGCTGTCTCTGTCAGCCAAACCCCTGGCCTACACCAAGTGTCTCCTTCCCTGTGACTGTTGCCTGTGCAAGGTCTTAATCCATCTGAGTGCAACTGCTAGGGGTTAGCACTGGCTGGGGTTAGCTGGCAGGGGAGCTCTGGGCTGCTCCCCTCGCTCAGCACCTCACAAGCAAGGGGAAGTGAGATCCTGTGCTCGGCGTCTGTGTGGAACATGGGGTCCTTCAAACGCGGGGTGGGATCGATCCCAGGTTTTCTGGGAGCATCCTCAGTAGCACAAGATTTGCTGAATCTCAGAACCAAAGGGGCACATGTGGGAAGCACGGAGCTCCTTGCTGCAGGTCAGCAGAGCCCACCCCTTCTGCCACCCCTGGACCAGCCCGGGGAACAGAGGACTGACTGGTTATCAGCAGCTCCCGACCCAGCTCAGCCTTTCTGCCCTGCAGAGATCAGCAGGTAGAGACCGGCGTGGTTCACGTCCCCAGCAGAGGAGAACTTTGGACCAGGCTGATGGGGCTGGAGGGCAGCCAGAGCCCTTGGCAGGGGAGAGGATGGGGGCACACAGAGTCCCTGGCTTGAAAGAAGGGGCTGGAGGATTTACTGGGGGGCCTGACTTGAAGGGGAAGAGGAAGGTGCCTAAGCAGCTTGGGGGTGGGTTGGAGTAAAGTAGGGCTGCAAGGAGCCCCAGGGGACACAATGAGCTTGACCTCCTGAGACACCTGAGTGTGGGACCCAAGTTATCCAGGGGGCTCTGCGTTCCTCAGGCTTTCTCCCCACTGCTGTGGGTTACTGAGTCCCCTCTGTCAGGAGGAGCAGCAGGCTGGGTTTGCCCAGGAGGCTCAGGGCTGCCATCATCCTCAAGCTGTCCTCTTCCCAACAGCTCAGTGTTTCCAGCCTGGGGATTCGAGCAGGAATCCCCTGCCCTGGGGCCATGGGTGCTCCTGGGCACCGGACAAGGGGAACAACCCAAACCTGCGTCACAGGGCAGCCTGCTCTGCCCCATGCACATCTGCACCCTCTTCTAGGCATTAATCTTTGCCATCTTGGGCTCATGTAATTGGATTTCCTGGGTCACATGATGAGATAAAAAGTCCCCAATCCATAGTAAAGATATTGGGTTATCCAGGGGGAATTAATGCAGAAAGGCGAAAGAGAGGGGAAGGGGGAGGACAAGGTGAAGGGCTCTCGTGCTCATTTCTAAGCAGTCTGTGGCTAGTAGCCTTCCCCTGCGGACATCCAGAACCAGGCTGCCCTCAGCAGCTCTGCAGCCCTGTAGCAGTTTGGGCAGATACCCCCTTTTTTCTCCTTCTTCTTTCTGTTTCTCACTTCCCCTCCCACACCCCACCAAAGGCTGAGTGACCTTGTGCGGAGACCTGGAAGAGACAAAAGGACTGCGGGAGTTAGACCAGCTAGAGGAGCCAGGGGAGGAAGACACCACGATGGGGAGTGGAGCAAGTGCCGAAGATAAGGAGATGGCCAAGAGGTCCAAGGAGCTGGAGAAGAAGCTACAGGAAGATGCAGACAGGGAGGCAAAGACGGTCAAGCTGCTCCTGCTAGGTAAGGTGGGAGCTTTCCTGGTGAGACAGTGGAGCCTGCCTTGGGGGAGGCCAGGATTGAGTGAGCAGGTGAGTGACTGCACCCACGGGAACGGCTCTCCCTGGATTTAATAACAAGTGACTGTGCAACCAGAGAAGAGCTGTGCGAGGGGGCCTCCGGGTCAGGAATGGGACGGGATGATGTGGCCTGCGGTTCTGGATTGGCCAAGCAGTGCATGGGAAGAGCACAACCCCTTAAGCGAAGGGAGCCTTGGCCAGGGGAGATGGGATGTAAGAACAAAGCAGAGATGCTCGTTGTAGGAAAAGTGGATGTTTGCTTTGTGAGAAGGGATTTATGAATGGAGGGCAGATGGAAAAAAAGAAAAGAGGGGCTGAAAGGGAGAGCGGGGTGAAGCTGGAGTCCAACCCGGCTGCTTCATTCCTCCTGGGCTCAGAGACGTGCCCAACTTAACCATGGTTTGGTGTTTTTAAGCCAAGATGAAGCTCTGGTCCCGAATGACACCAGATGGGCTCTCATTAGATTGACGGTTTCTTAAGCGAGGTGCTTATCAGGGCTCACAGATTTCTCAGCCTACGGCATGTAACAGGAGGTCACAAGCATCTTCTGGAGAGGGGGTGGAAATCAGCCCATTAGTGAGGATTAAAAGGGCTGGAGAAGGGATGCCTGCAGGTCTGGTAACAGCAGCCCATTCCTGCCGGGACTAAGACCACTTTGCTGGATTTGTTCACCCCTGCTTGAGGGCCCTTACGTGTCAAGGGCATCTTTCTGGTCAAAAAAACAATGTATTTATTTTTAAATTTTGTGTATTCCCAGTCCAATTAGCCAAATCCATTCCAAATCCATGAGTCAGTCCAGAACCATAAGTGGCCCTACTACTGGCAAACATCCTCCACCCCCATCTGGGGCTTCAGATGTTCCCAAAACCTTTGGTGGGCATCCTATTTGCAGGCCCAAGCCCAGAGGCTTGGGGTTCAGATGCCCCTGAGTTTTGCTTGCCCTTAGCCATAAGGCCCCAGGAGCAAGCTAGGGAGGAGTCGCCCATTTCTATAAAGCGGGCATAAAGCCAAGATTAACTATCCATCACCAATGCAGGTACTATCCCATGCCAGCAGAGCGGTCTTCCCTGGGTGCAAATAGGAAGCCACTGCGGTGATCACGGTATTTCTCCTAGGTAAGCATAGGCTACGCTTGATCTGAACCTACAAGAGGCCGAGAAAGCAAATACATGGTGGTTGTGACATGACATGTTAGGATGGAGCCCCACAACTCTGGACAGGGAGCTGGGACAGCTGGGTACTAGGCCCAGCCTCTCAGGCTGACCTTGCACAGCTCTTGGATATGCCTGAGATAGTCTTGGGTAACAGGAGCACAGCAGCGCTGTCTGCTCCACTCAGAGGAAAGGCTCTGCAGTGTTTTGAGTCGTCCCTGCAAGGCGACTGTTCTGGCGTGTTCCCAGGATCCATCCTGCCCTCATTAGCGTTCATGAGAGAGGCTTTGAGAGCGCTGGAGTGGAGGAAGGCACAGCACACTGATGAGCATGTTTGTCTCCAGCTTCTTGTGGCATTGTGGGTAATCTAGCAACATGATTAAATGCTTCGTTAACACAGGAAGGGCTGCACTTTATCTCTGACCATATTGATTTTGTCTTCCTAGGTTAGCCTAATGCCCAATGGCAGAACAGGCTGTGTGCTGAGATCGGATGCCTCTGATAGGCTCTAGCTCAAACACAAATTCAGGCTTCGTTCAGAAGTGGCTGAGTGGGGCGCTCTGCCCTGAGCTGTGCCGCTGGTCAGACAAGGGGGCCACAATGACTCCTCCTGGTTTTAAAATCGATGTCCCCCTCCTGGCAGGTCTTCCCCTTCTTCGAGCTGGCACGTTCTGTGCTACCTGAGCACTGTAGCTAACTCTTGTTCACTCCTGCTCTGTAGCTTAGGGGGCTTCTGCATCTCCTTCACTGTCCCCTGCCTTCTCCCTTGTGCTACGAGAGGTTTCCAAGCCTCTGCCAGGCCAACGCTAGTCCCAAAGAAACAGAGATCTCCAAGAAGGTGCCCCTGCTCCAACCACCAACTGGCTGGTTCAATAACATAACTAGAGGGAGGTGAGCCGGGCACCAGCCCCAGGTGCAGTTTTAGAGAGGGCTCCAGAAAGGTGGCTCCAGGCTGGAGCAGTGATGGTAGCTGGTGTCTTTGGTGCCCGCTCTTGGACCACCGTTCTAGTGGCATTTCACAGAGACGCATTCAAGCCCTTTTGGCCTGGGCACTGCAAGGTGTGGTGGGTGCATCTCTGCTTAGGGCGCTGAAATGATTAGTTATGCCTCTCGGTTGGTCACGGGAGAAAGCCCACATGAGCAGGAAATGGGAGGCCATAGGTCTTTGCCAGCTGCCCACCCCTCCCAGGCCTGGGAGCAACAAGCCACCCATGCTCTTCTCATCCCACAGCCAGTACAGAAAAGGGTGCCTCTGGCTCAAGCAGACAGACCCAAGTGCACTCAAGGCTTGGCCTTCAATTCAGGTCAGGCAATGGCTCTGCCACAGGGAGTGTATGTCACTGCCTCACTCACCCAGCATCACTCCTAAAAGAGATAAAGGCTTCTCTGGCAGCTACAGATCATGGCGGCGCTGCCTGCCAGCCCCACTGTAGGGGCAGGCAGCGCATGCCTGGCTAAGCAACACTGCAAAGTTTATCCAGCTGATGGCAGGGATGTGGGGCTCAGCACGATTAGGCCCTTAATTCTAAGCAGCTTCCTGCTTGGGAATAAGCAGCTTAAAGCAATGAGACGAGGCAATCTCCAAGGCTTGTCACAGAGACCTGAAGGGCAGGAGGAGAGAAAACAGGAATCGGGGAAGGCTAAGAAATGTTAAGCCCTGGCACAGGCTAGTCATGTCCAAGGGGAGAGGACACACAGCCATGCAGGGAATCCCAGCTCCAGAGGGAGTTCAGCCCCTCCAGCTCTCGGGAACACGGTGCTCTGTGGCTCTGTCTCCCACAGGCCCTCTGCCATGCTGGGGTGCAGAGGGGATCCCCAAAGCACAGACAGGTCTTGCAGTGCAGCTTCCAGAACCAGGCACTCATGTGTTAAGCTGAAAGCAGTACAAACAGCAGAGTGGTCCTTAATCCCTGCAGTTCAGTCATCTCTTGATTATTCCCATTCCCCCATCAGTGATTTAGCCTCTAGGTGGCATGGATGGTTTTGGAGGCAGGCAGCTCCACACTTCTTGGGGCAGTGATGTGGGCAGGCCCAATGGCAATCCTGTGAGGAATAAAGAGAAGGTGAGAGTGAAAGAAATAGGGCACGTCTACATGTTTGTTAATGCACCCTAATTAGGGGTGTAGGTTGTAGCTGTGTTGGTCTAAGGACACAGGCAGACAAGGTTCCTTGGGTGAATTTGATATCTTTTATTAGACCAACCCAAATAGTTGGAGAATAGTTATTAAGCAAGCTTGGGTTTTTGAACCTGAAAGCTTGCTTAATAACTATTCTCCAACTATTTGGGTTGGTCTAATAAAAGATATCAAATTCACCCAAGGAACCTTGTCTGCCATAATTAGGGTGCATTTAGTTTTATACCTGTAATAACAGGTACTAACTTAATGCACTGTAATTAGCAGTCCTTTGCAGTAGCGCTGGCACATGCTCTTTTGGTGACACTAATGCGCAGTAGACTAATTCTACTGCCGATTAGCACATTAGCATGGTTTTTGCCTGCTGCATTAATACGCAGAATTAGTCTATTGCACATTTAGTGTCTCTTGTAGACGCACCCACCAAGGGTCAGGGCTAGCCTTCCCACTCAGCTCCAGCTCAGACAGAACAGCATGCCTCCCCCACAAAGACACTGCTCAGGGATGCAGCATACCAGCCCCAACACAAAGGTGGAAGAGATGAGCTCCTTCAGCAGAGCAGGCCTCCGGACCACTAGGTAAAACAGGAGAAATAGCTGGTCTTTCCATGGGTTTGAGACTTTGATCTGTTTAGTGGCCTCCTGGGAGCCCAGTGACTAGATCTCAATTCACTCAATCCAGGAATAATATGCCGCTAAACAGACCCACCGGGTTTCAGAGAAATCCAGCAGTGCTGCACTACCTGGGAGCCAATTCCCAAGGAAAGCACTTTGGGGACAAGGAGAGCAGTGTAAGTCCTGAATGCTGGCTCCTTTTGGCTGGCCCTCAGACCGTACCATCACCACAGTATCATTGTGGGGAAGAGCTGCGGTCTCCCTCTTTGGGACTGGAGTCTGTCACTGTTTGTTGGCACTAAAGTATTTCCTCCCATTTTTTCTAGGTGCTGGGGAGTCAGGCAAGAGCACAATTGTCAAGCAGATGAAGTAAGTGCGATCTCTGGCCTGGATCTCAGAACAAATATCAGGTCTATTTCCTTCCAGAAGTCTGATCTGGGCATAAGGACTGCTTATTTAACTTGCTAACAGCGGGTAGGCCAGGCTGGGTGCAGGACAGCATTGAGATGAGCAGAATAAAATGGATTAAAGATGTAAATAGATGTAACATCTGTAGCTCCATGGTCTTGGATCAAAAGGACAGCACTTCTTCTGCTTCCTGGGTCAGCAGCTATGGGATGTCTCTTCATGCTGTAGGCTAAGAACAAACAACGGATGTATGTGGGAGATCCCAAGGCATCAGCTATAGATGCCACTGAGGGCACGGACGTTGGGTTAAATGGAGTGGTGATCTAGTGTCTCAACAACTTCCCTTGGCTAATGCACAGCACACCAGGCGCTGGGAACAGTAGGTGTTTGCAGCGGCAGGCTGATCCTTAGCCAGGCACCAACCAGCAGGTGTCAAATCCTGAGGAGGATGGAGCAGGGAGAGCACTTCTCCGGCTTGTGGGTGATACCAGCTGCATGGGGCAGCAAGTATTTTAGAGAAGAGGATCAGAACAAACAGTCTTGGCAATCTGGAGAAGCAGCTGGAAACCAAGGCAAAATTCAGTACAGAGTGCACAGCACGCTGCGTTTAGACAGGAGAAATCCGATACACCAGTACCGAGCAGGGTGGAACCAGCTGGGCTGCAGTGCAGTCGTGAGAGGCCTGGGGGCTGTAGCGGCTGCAGACTGAGCAAGAGCCAACCACGAGACTCTTGACTGAATAAGAGTCGCAGCTGGTCAGTCTAGGAGCCACAGAGTTAGCCTGGGCCATGCTTTCCCCCAGCGGAAGCTGCCACCGCTGGCTGGTTAAATAATGACCAGAAACAGAAGTTTCTTGTTGCATTTAGCCCTGGCTGGGGGGCACCAATTTTCCCATGTCACAGTGGATGTAGATGTGGGTTTGGCCATGTGCGGGCACTAGGGGATAAAGAGGCTCCTCACTCCCCTGTGCGGGTGATGTACATTGCTACACCAGCCTGCTAGGCTGAGCACTGTGCAGCTGCACGGGTCCATAGCTCTGCCCCCACCCCATTCCCTGTCCCTAGCCAGGGCGCCTGCACCAGCCCTGCTGGGGAGTCATTCATGCTAGCACTGATTATTTTTCTCCCTCAAGGATGGGCAAGGCAGGGGCCAAATCAAGCCTTTGTCAGAGTTTGGTCCCTGAATGGAGGCACCCAGGCCGGAGCAGAAGATGCCATTCGGTGCTGCAGAAAGAGAATTGCCAGGGACACCCAGGCTGTGTTTCTCAGTAAGGGTCTCTTTGTGCATCCCCTACAGGATTATCCATCAGGACGGTTACTCGCCAGAGGAGTGCATGGAGTTCAAGGCAGTCATCTACGGCAACATACTGCAGTCCATCCTGGCCATCATCCGGGCTATGACCACCCTGGGGATAGATTACAGTGAAAGTGGGCGAGCGGTCAGTACCCTGCCCTCACAGTCACCAGGGCTCTTGTCTACCCCAGCAGGGCAGGGGGAGAGGGAGGGTGTAGTGGTTCTCATGTGCACATGCAAATGCATTTCCACAGGCAGTAGGGTGGCCATCATAGAGGACAGTCTGGTTGTCCTCTGTCCTCTATCGATATGAAACTGGATGCCTTTATAAAGGCCATAAAGGCATCCAGTTTCATATCAATAGAGGACAGAGGAGAAGAGAAAAACAGCGGACCATAAAGGCATCGGGTTTCATATTGATAGAGCACAGAGTAGCAGAAAACCAGAATGTCCTCTATGATGGCCACCCTAACAGGCAGGCAGAAGCGATGAGCAATGCTGCAGGATTGACCTGCCACATTAGACGCTGTTCCTGCTTTGGACTTCTCCTCCCCTCCGGCCCACTGCCCGGCTCTCAATCACTCCAACTAATCTGTGTTCATGCTAGGAACCAAGTGTTCCCAGCTGCTTCTTACAAAGGCAGATATATATTTTAATAGAGGTCACTGTCCCTTTATGGACAAGCGACAGGCTTCTGTTTCCCCTTCCAGGAATGGTGGCAGGATGAAGACCTGCAGGGGAAGGCAGCTCCTTTCCAGCACACAAAGACAGGAGCTATGAGGAAGGATACCCCAGACACAAAGTCTGGGCTCCTTTCAATGTCTGCAGTGGCCCCAAGGAACAAGGCATTAGGTTTCTGCTGCCTCCCACATCAAACTCCTATCGAGCGATGCCATCTACTGGTTAAGGGAAGCATTTCTAGGGGCAGCTTTTGTTCTCCATTCCCAAGACATTGCCAGGATGGATGCAGGGAACATCCCCCTTGACCTTTGGGAAAGCTGATCCTTAAAAGAATAAAAATCCAACAAGTGGATGGGGGATTTAGTTCTCAAACAAGAACAAAGTCCTGTGTGGATGTGAGGACACACATGTGCCCAGGCTGAGCTCAGGCAGGCCCACACCAGACCATGAGAGTCTCCAACCTAGCCTTCTCAAAGGCTTTGTGTCTTGCAGGACGATGGGCGCCTGCTGTTCAACTTGGCAGACTCCATTGAGGAGGGGACCATGCCCCAGGAGCTGGTGGACTGTATAAAGAGGCTGTGGAACGATGCGGGAGTGCAGGCCTGTGTCGAGAGAGCCTCTGAGTACCAGCTCAATGATTCTGCTTCATAGTAAGTCAGTCCCTATAACCCTGTAATTAAGCAATGCAACTTCCAGATGGCAAGAGCCTTTGGGCAGGGGGATCTCTACAGGTTTGGTGCTTAATTACTTGAATCTGTCCAGTCACCAGCACCGAAATGACTGATGCCTCAATGAGGTGGACTCCACCACCAGACGGAGGAGTCTCAGCTTTGCTCCAGCCACTAAGGGGAAAGCCAGGGTGAGGAGAAACCCTGCAGAAAGGACATTTCAGAGCTGGTTCCCTTTGAAGCCAGTGCAAGTTTTAATTTTAACACTGGCATGGCCTGTCAAGGGACTTGGGGCATCCAACAGGAAGGACCAAAATGGTTTGAAGCATTAGGATGCATGCCAACACACACACAGAGCTCTCATGGGCTGCTTCTGCAGTGCTGATATCCCCCATCACTACCTTGGCTGTATTAGTAGCCGCAAAACATCACCACCTATCCGACCATTGCAAAGGCTGCTGAAGCAACACCCAATTTCAGTCCTACTGATTGGGCGATGCGGAGTTCACGCGGCCCAGAATAGAGACAGGAGACTGATACTACATGTGAAGGTAGTTTGGGGGCTGAGGAGAAACTGTCTCATGTACTATCGTACAGTGTGCGAGTCCTACATGGTATTTTAGGTTCTCTACTGAATAGCCTCCGAGTTGTGTAACTCACATGGGGCCAAGCCTTGCTTCCACCCACACCAGTGTGAACCTGCTGAAGACAGCCAAGTTACTTTAGATGACACTGCAAAAGACTCCCTCTGGTTTAACAAACCACATCCTGCTAGCCAGCTCTCTAGCAGGCCACAGCAGATATAGTCCCTGCTCCAAAAAAAACTACAGCGGAGGAGCAACTGGGGGTGCTGGCACTTCAGGCTCTCTAGGCAATGACACGAATTAAACTGCTCTATCCTATTCTGCTGGCAGCATCCACCAGCACATTGGGCTCTTCTCACCTGCCCTTTTTGGAAACTGTAAGCTTTTTGGAGCAGGGACTGACCTTTTGTTTTGTATCTACATAGCACAGAGCCCTGGCCATATAGCAATGCACAGCAAGCCCATATGCATGCTTTGTCCCTGCTTAAGCCAGAAGCTGATGAAGGGGACCTCCCTGCTCTCCTGCTATGCTAGAAGGACATGTCCTTTGCCACAGGCTGGCAGAGTCGCAGTGTATAGAGATAACGTTTCCAGGTGCTCTCTCATAAGATTGCTATCGGCCTGATAACACCTTCTCCATTCTCCTCCTGCATCCTGTGGTAGTATTCTGCATCCTTTACAATTGCTAAAATGCTCCCGCTTTCTCCTTTAGCTACCTGAGCCAGATGGAAAGGATTACAGCTCCTGGCTACCTCCCCACCGAACAGGACGTGTTACGGTCCCGAGTGAAGACCACCGGCATCATAGAGACCAAGTTCTCCGTCAAAGATCTAAACTTCAGGTGAGGATAAGTGCAAAGCCCTCTCATTTTTCTCCTGATCAGCAGCCGCAGCCCTAGGGGCTCATTCACCCAGCTTCCTTAGCTCAGCCATTCAGCTCCGTGTGCAGGCCTTCCACTCAGTTTTCTTTTTTCTGAGACGCTTCACAGCCATAATGAACAAGTCAGCCCAAACCAGGGAAAACCAAACCAGTCAGAACCTGCTGTCTTCCTCCAGGCAAAGCAAGGGAAATCATTCTAGCTCCATGCTTTGCCACAGCCTGTCTTTGTCTCCGGGACTTTTTAAACCCCCTTCAGGCTGCTACCTCATTAGCAGCTATTGGTCCCAGCTGGCTCCCAGTCTCCCAGCCAGGCAGACTATTAGTTGCTGAGTACCTGCAGCTGTCCTCTCAGCCTTTAAGGGCCAACCCCCCCTTACAACCACCATGTGCATTAGGTGTGCTAGGATAGATGCCATGTAAAAGCAGTGGTACTATTCCCTCTACAGGATGTTTGATGTGGGAGGACAGAGGTCAGAGCGCAAAAAGTGGATCCACTGCTTTGAAGGTGTGACCTGCATCATCTTCTGCGGAGCTCTCAGCGCCTATGACATGGTGCTGGTGGAGGATGATGAAGTGGTATGTTCGCTCTTAGTTGCTATCTACCTACAGCGTAATACCAACAGCTCCTCTCCACCAGAGTGCGTCTCTGAGGCTGCTTCCCTTCCTGGATGCCTCTGAAAAATGGAACAAAGTCCTGTTACAGCTGAGCTCAGTCTGAACATGACTGGCTTAATGAGAACAGCAGCATCACTCCAAAAGAGGAAGCAGTGTGGAGAGGGCTGGGTGCCAAATCTTGTCCTGGGTAGCTGGATCCCTGAGGATGCAGGGAGGCACCAGCACAATGAAAAGGAAGTTTAAGAAACTTGAATGCCAGCTTGTGGTTTATGCAAAGCTCATGGCTCATTGTTCTGTGCTGACGCAAGTCTGGGGAGCAATGTAGCTCTCGTCTGACATCAGTCTGTAAATAAATGCCTGCCTTCCACCCAGCAGAGCTGGCAGCTGAAACTAATTTGTGTAGCAGGGTGACATCCAGCGGCTAGTCAAGCCTAATCTTACATGTGTAGCCCTTAAAAAGATTTGAAGGCTGCTTGCCTGCCCTCAAAGGTGACAGCAAAAAGAAACAGGACAAGGGAGATAGGCTTGTGGTTAAACATTGCAACTGAGAGTTACAAGAGCTCAATTCTTATCCTATCTTTGGCCTCCTAGGAAGGTCAGACCGGATCACTATTAATCTATGAACCTGTGCAGGAGCTAGAAAAAGGACCATAGCAGTCAGTTTACAGTACAGCCAAGAATTACCACAATCCCTAGGGTGAAATCCTGTTCCCATGGACTTGCATAGGACAAGGACATCACCCAAGATCATGGCTGCTAGTTAAATGTCAGTCACACAGCTGAAAGGGGCTGAAGCTTACAAATAGCAATTAAAACATGCGTGTGGCTATGCACCTGCAGGTGATGAAGGGAACAGGCAAGTCATTGGGAAAGAAAGCACCTGGAATTAGCCAGGCAGGAAACAGCAGGTGAACACATGCTTTCATTAGCTACAAGAATCACTTGCAGTTTACAACTTCAAATGAAGAACTTGTCACCATTTTGCAGATTGTACCTGAAGCTAATTGATGGACAAAGTCATTGCAAATCCATCCACTATGTATCCATGCTTTGCAGCAATGTGGGGGTGCACAGAGCAGGGACCAGTCCAAATCCTTTCATTTACCTTGGATCCCAGCTGAAGGCATCCTTATGCAATGCTTTCAATGGTAGAAGGCCCAGGGAAAGGCTCATCAGCTCCATTACACTGTGAAGATGTAATAGGAATTTCCCCATAAAAAGGACAGAGTGGGGGTCTTTTGTGAGCCAGCATGGAGCTTATAGTGTCTGGGGCATGGGAGAGGAACATATTCTAGGTTTTTGGTGTATAAAATCATTGAAAGTAAAGGGTGCACATCATAAGTTAGAGCTATTACTCTGTCTTTCACCAGTGCCTCAATGGTCTAGTCATTGTGAGCTGGTCGCAGGTGCCCTGTAAAGTCTCATGCACTCACCTCCACCAGATACTTGCCATTCCCTCTGCTCTGGCATGGAGTAGGCTAGATAATCTAATTGGTTTTATCCATCCAACTACCAGAATCCCAGAGATTACATCCCAATATTGTCAGCTAACTCTAGCCTTTGTGAAGGTGAAGTCAAACTAAGACTGACCACTGACCTCTGCGTATAGACTCATTCTTGCAGTGTCTACCTTATTTCTTCACATACCACATGACCCCCCAATTAGCTGAAGACCTTGTTTTGAAAATGTAGGAAAGCTGCTGCCAATTTAGCAGTGGCCTTGATGGAGTTAAAGCTTGAGCTGCAGAGCTTGCAAGGCAAGAGTGAGTGATGAAGAGATGACTCTGCCCCCTCTATACATGTAGCTGGAGCCCAGCACAGAGCCAGCCCTCAACAGCCATTCCAGTGTCCCCATACATCCACACTGGTGCAGAAATCAACTTCTGCACTTAAAACACACCCTTCAATTTGAGATGACGAATTTGGGGGGGGGGAAGGTGTGTGGCATGTGAGTAAATATGCCATTATTCAGTTCCAATCTGAGGGCAGGAGTGAGAGAGACTTATCCCCAGCTCAGCCCCCAGGTTTGTTGAATAAGAATCTCCCTAGAACATCCTTTTTGTGTACAAATAACATCAGAGCAAAGCTACACGAGCGCAGCCGGCGGGGAATATTTTTGATGCTGGTAATCAGGCAGGACTCAGCCTCCACAGATGCTCTCAGCCTCTCTCTGAAAAAAGCAGAAAGGAGGGTGAAGAGCAGAGAAAGCTGACAGTGACCAGGCAGAAACTGGTAAAAGGCTGTCTCTGTTTCTCCCCTGCCCGCAGTCAGCACTGCTTTCCAGGACAGCTAATTAGCAGCTAATACAGCTTGTACAGGCTGTATTAGGACAGCTAATACAGCAACCCTCCTGTATTGCAGATATTACCATCCTCCAAAAGGGCACTTGCTTCTCTGCCTCTCATAGAAGAATTAACTTGGGAGGTTTCCCAGCAGTACTAATCACCTCAGGAAAAAAAAAAAACAGCTTAGGAGGAATGTGAAGGTCATTTTCACAGACCATCATGTACTCTCTTCTCTTAAATGAGAAGGGAGGGGTGCAATCCATACACTACCCACCACAGCCTTGGGAAATACAGCTTGGGAGCCATTCCCCAAGGAGCTTCATTTGAAGCATCATAAGCCAGACCCCAGAACACAGAGTCCCTGCTTAAGATACAGTCTCATTAGTTTAATGTCCTGGCTCCTCTTCATGCTCCAGCATCATCTAATATTAGAGACCAGTTGCACTTGTGCCACAAAGCTTACAGAACCTAGGCTATTAGGGATTTTTTTTACATTCAGTCAGTGGAAGCCCCCCCTAGCAGATTACTTAGACTTACTAACTCGGCTACTAAGAAACAGCAGATAGACAACTGCTTTTAGGACTAGCAAAGGCTTCAGCTTTATAAACAGATGTGTTAAAGCACCATCTTCTCATCTACAACTGCAAAACAATGTGGAGACTGCAAGTATAGTTGGTAGCTCAGGAAACGGCTTTTGTCTAGCATCCATCTGTTTTAGGACGAAGCCAGAGATGTGGTCATTTGAACCTACAGAGATCAACATGCTTGATGCTTTACAGAGAGGAAATACTTTCATGTGCTTTAACTAGATAAAAAGTAGGAAAGGTTATTCAAAGCCAGAACGAACAGGGGCTTTAAAAGCAGATGTGTCACCAAAGAGTAAAATGAACTTTTTGTCTGTCTTCAGAACCGCATGCATGAATCCCTACATCTGTTCAACAGTATTTGCAACCACAAGTTCTTCGCTACCACTTCTATTATTTTGTTCCTTAACAAGAAGGACCTCTTTGAGGAAAAGATCAAGAAAGTACATCTCAGCATCTGCTTTCCAGACTATGATGGTGAGTTCTAATAATTTTGTGTCCCCTCTTCATAGCCATGGTAATTTGCAGAGAAAAAGGTCTGTGCCTAAGTGTCATCTAAAACGCTAAGCTAGTGGTAGAAAGAATCATTGATAACTGGTAGGAAGACTCAAGGGAGCCACGACTCCCAGTATTTTCTTGGGTTCAACTGGCCTTGTGGCTCAAAATTTCACTGGGCTTGCAAGTGGGAAAAGCATAAAATTCCTGTTAAACATGATGACTTGGAGGCTGTTTGGGAAGACTGGTGCCAAAGATGAAACACTACCGAAATGCAGCTTCTGCTGGCTCTTAGCTACCTCTGTGTAGAGAATGCATTTCGGTAGCCACAGCTTTCATTCCAGCCCTCTTCAAAGAGTGTTTAGTTTTCTTAAAACAGGAGCTAAGCAACAAATGGCAAACGATTACATTTCCTCAGCTGGGTAAGAGCACTTGCATAACTACATAGGGCTATGAGTTTCTAAACAGTGCAACTTTCCTAATCAGTGGCACATACCAGTAGATACTTCCTCTCCAAAAACAGGTCCCAACACATATGATGATGCAGGAAATTACATCAAGATTCAGTTTCTTGATTTGAACATGCGAAGAGATGTGAAGGAAGTCTACAGCCATATGACCTGTGCCACAGACACGCAGAACGTCAAATTTGTGTTTGACGCAGTCACGGATGTCATTATCAAGGAAAATCTCAAAGATTGCGGTCTCTTCTAAATCAGCTTTGGTAGGTACTATTGTTTCAAACAGACCTTTTAAAAAAAAAAAAAAAAAGCCATTGGCAAGTTACAAGATTAGACACCTTATCACCAAAAGGGATTTGTGCTGCGAGGGTGACAACTCTTCAGATCTCTCCCCAAAACTTGGCTCTTTGAAAAGCTCTGCCATTTCCTCGGGCAATAAGAGCAATATCGCCATTAAACCACTGGCTATCCCTTTTTCTTACCAAAGCAGCCCTCCCATCTTGTCAGTGCCTTGCTCTGCTCAACTATATGGGAAGGGTTATGAGTTCCAGATACCCGATTCAGGAAACATGGCACAAGCTGTTTAAAACTTTGTTGGCACTATTTAAAAATTTCCCATTCAGACCCCTTAGAGATTTGGGGGGGGGAGGGGGGCGGCTAAAACCTTTATACTATCAGGAACCATAGGATCCATTTAGAAAGCAGAAAAGTTCAGTATTTTGAGGCACTGCATTACAAAGCCGGTTGCTGTACTACAAAGCCTGTGCTGGCATACCCAATTACAACAGACACCCAGCTCTGTGCACTGCAAACAAGATTAAACTGTATTATAATATGGTGTCATGCTGCCATAACACAATAAATTTTGCTGCATGAACAATTCACTGTAAAAGCAATTCACTGCTTTTAGAATTGGCAACAATCTTAGAACGTGCTCCATAAATATCACCGGCCAGGAAAAGCGATCCACAATCCTGGCTAGTGATAGCATATGAACAGCAGCTAACACAGATAGGTTGCCAGTGTGGATAGGGAACAAGTGGTCTCTGCAGTGTTCTGCTTTACCTGGCCTTTCTACTAGCCAATATGAGTTGGTTGATGAACCACAGTAATGAGCTAATGACAAAATAAATGCTATGATATATGTGCATCTGCCAGCTCCCGGTGCAAAACGCAGCACCATTAGTCTCTTCCCACCCCCACCTTCAAAAATCACTTGCAGCCAGCATCTTCCAATAGCACAGCTCCCGAAGTGAGCAACGCTGGAGATTTCATTCTCCACGAATGGGAACAGGAAAGCAGGGAAAAAGAGGCAGGCAGCCAGCTTCTCTGCCAGCACGAAGCAGCTTGCAGTCAAATGCAGTTGAGGGGCAAAGCCACTGTTTTAACCTCTGCATTGTCTGCTGCCAGCAAAAGTTTTCCCATTACAAACAGCCATTTCTGAGCAAGGGGAAAACCTGCTCTGAGCATGAAGAAAGATATTGCATTAAGGCAGCAACTCGAGATCAGGTCTATCACCATATTAAGGTTGCAAACACTAGAAAAAGGTAATTCTATGCAAGTCTGATTAGACCGGGGGGGTGCGGCAAAACAACAGATCCGGCCAGTGGCCAGACTCCATTTCCCAGCAGTCCCTGTCCGTGTCATTGCGGCCAGTTTCCATGGAGACCTCCAGGAGCTGTGGGACCCTGACAGCATGGGGCCAGGGTTTCCATGGAGACCAGGCCCTGGCAGGGCATGGAGCTGCTCTGGGGATCTTGCAGCAGTGCCAGCATGGTCTGGAGCCAGGGCAGAGCTGTGATCCCTTCATGCTTCTGCCTAGGGTACGTGGGCAGCAGATGGCAGCTCTGTCCCAGCTCCATACCACTGTCACCGCTGCAGGATCCCAGCCCAGGAGCAGCTCCCTGCCCTGCCATGCACACTGCCAGCACTGCTATGGCCAGTCTCCATGGAAACCCTGGCCCCTCGCTCTCATTGATGTGCCACTCCTGGGGTCTCCATGGAAACCGGCCACAGTGACAGGGGCAGGAGCTGCTGGGAAATGGAGTCCACCATGGGCCCGATCCAGCCCACGGGACGGACTTTGCCCAGCCCTGGATTAGATGGAGAAGGCTAGTTCAAATGTTTCCCACCGCCGCTGCATCACATAGTTTGCTGCTGCCTGGTGAGATTCTCCAGTACTGATCCTCTGCATTTGTACGTGACCTATCTAAAAACATTCAAGCCCTTGTAACGTTGAAGGATTTAACACCATTTTCCCTTTCCGCTTCACCTTCCAGCAGCAAAGAAAATGACTTCTATATAGCATCATTGTTCTGCTGAGCAGAGCCAGAGGAGTGAGCAAAAGCTACTTAGGGCAAAATTTTTCTAAGACCTACCCAGCAAGCGAAGCGCACACACTTCAAAGAACAAGTCCTGCGAGGAAAGGCACAGCTAAACTTCCTACCACCCAGCTGTCTGCCATGGTAATTTCCTCCTTTATTATTATTTTTAAATACTCTCTCTTCAGTTTGCACACTTTAAAGATAACAGCCCACAGCAATCCAGTGTGATCTGATACTCGACAGCAGTTTTTGGCACATCAAATGGGGAAGAGATACCAGAACATCACATGTCTACACAGCTGCATCTAAAAAGGCACTGCAGACCTAACATGAGAAAAAAGTGAAACTGATCCTTTGGTGGAATCCCAGAGAAATCCCTCACCTATAAGATGGGGGAAGCCATTAAAAAAAATTTGTGAGTGATCTGACCTAAAAGTAATTCCTGAATGTGGAGATCGGAATCCATTTACGTTCAAGATAATTAACGTCTTTCCTTATGCGTTAAAGAGCAACAAGTTTACCAGTTGTAAATAAGTCCCAATAGTCATTTGAAATGTTCAAACCTTCCACTGGAGAAAGTTAATGTGCAGATCCCTGAACCTGGTGGAATTTATCCCCACAGCCTTAAGGAGCTGATTGACTGCTTCTACTATCCAACTTTCTCTATGTACAAATAGCCTGGAACCTTGACCCATTTCACTCCCAACCCTTCCAAACTCAAACAGGCTTGCCCATATAGCCTAGCAATACTTATCCTCTCACTGCTACATCTGCTCTTTGCTTCAGAGACTGTTGCTCATGATGCCTCACTGATCTCTAGCCTAGAAGATCAGAAGAACTTTTAAGAAATAGTATTGGATTTATTAGGATTTAAGGAAACATTTCACAGCGAGAAATCAGAAGGAACAGGCTGGAGGCCGGAGACAAAAAAATAGTTACAGTACTTGAAACGATTCTCATTCTGCTATTTAAAGTGGTCTGCTCTTTATCGTATGTAAATAAGTCTATGCTATCACTGTAGACAAAGCCTTGTATCGTCTCAATGTACATTGCAGAAGTCATGTACGGAGCTTCACTTAGAAACTGTAGCAAAGCCAAAATAAAAAGAAATGTGCATGAAATGAATGGCTTATTTGTTCTGCTTTAACACTTCATTTCTTAAAGCGTTTCCTTCCTGTGTCATTCTTGACTCCCAAAACCTAAGGGCAAGCTTCCTCTTCTGCGCTATTTTTATTTATGTTCTACATTTTGCACTTATTTCCATTGCAGCTGCACATACAGATCTTCACTGAAGTCAGGCTGGTTCACGGGCAGGGTGGCTATAGAACACACCCAACGCATACAGTGTGCTCAAACTGCAGACCTAATTGCTGCAGACCTGGATGATAGTATGCGTGCCACAGTCACCTTGCCCTCTTGATTCTATGAAGCAGTTAACTTTTAATAGCATGATGCTGGTAGGTGCCAAACACCCTTCAGTCCCACCCAAACTAATGAGAAAAAATAAGCGTTGAGACCCTTGTAGCATCAAGTAGCACAATTTGGGCATGCAGTGTTACTGAAGGGATGAGTGCACATTTGTGTTTCAGAAACTAACTAAGCAACTCCAAGTATCACTGTGAATCTGCAGTAGAGCCTAGACGATCTGGTTAAAAGGCGAGCGTTTCACACTTCAATAGCTGACAGTTACTGGTGAAGGAGCTGTCCAGAGCTAACAAATGGTGTTGCACATTACCAGTGTGTTATCCCTAGCAAAGAATATGGTGTTTTCCTACCAAGGATCTCTCTCAAGGAGTTTAAAATGTTGTCTGAAAGTATAGTACCACTACCATGATAGACATTCTGCAAGTTGGCTTGTCTCTACTTACTTTAATGGACTTGTAGTGTGTTCTTTCTTTTCTTATTGCTTTCAACTGATGAAATGACACTGGCTATGAACTGGACTCACTCATTCAGTTGGTTTTTAAAAGATGGCACCCTGCCTTGGCCTCTGCCCAATTTCAGACTATATGTCTGGCTGTGAATGAGTAAGAGACTAAATTACAATCAGCAAATCTGATGAATGATAGCTGTGCCCATAAAACCAAATCCCCATGGTAAAAGAAGGCTGCATTGTGCAAGACGGTAGTGGCTCTAATACTTTTGTATTTAAAAAAGGTCAGGCTACCCTCTGCCTAGCCTACTAACTAAGTGCATTTGCAGCTGGCTGCCCCTCTTGCCTTCGGTCAGCTTGCAAAAAACAATTGAAGTGAGCAGTATGGAAGAACACGTCCAGAATGTCAAGAATAAATTAGGAAAAATTTACTGTTTACTCACCATTTTAATACTGCCAAACAACTATAACAGGTTGAAACTGTACATGTGACAAATTGGGAAAACGAGTCTCAATGCAATGGTTTCAGCAAAGGAATGTGCCGACTGGTTAAGAACATTACTACAATAAAAACAATGGCAAACAGGAATTTTGGCACAACATTTACAAAGTAAAGGCATGCTATCAATACAGTTTAAAAGTCTCTGAACATAAAAGGCCATGGTAAATGCAGAACAAAGGTGCATCTTTTACAGAATTCCCCACTGGTTTAGACCAAAAAAAATGCACAAGAATCCAAGTGGTTGATTTAATAGCTTGGTAGCAGCACACACTCTCCATCCAGTTTGGAATATAGCAATTTGTTTCTCCAACTGAAGTTGTCCCAGGTACGTCTTCACCCAATAAGCTGGCTTGAATATTACTACAAGGGCTCAAATCTTGATTTGGTAAATCAGCGTAAACCAAGTTAATCCCCAAACATAAGCTAAAAAGGACTTATCCTGCTACAGAAAGTTCTGTCACTTCTTTTCAAAGCCAGAACGTATTTGCAGCAGGGTGAAAACAAATTACACATCAGAAGCCAAAGCTATAGCCAGAAGAGCTCTACAGATCTTTTAAGTAGTTGCAGAAATATTAAATTCTGACCATACCAAGTGTTAAAAACAAAGAGTTCCTACTAAGAGGAATACTTTCTGCATGATCTGGTCACATCATGTGCATAGTTAAGTGTTTGTTTTTTTTTCTTATGTTTTCTTAAAACAAGATTCATTTGCAAATAAAGAAATAAAATTTAGTAAAGTTTATATATATATTATATATATCTGATGGAAAAACCTTAAAAACAGACTAGTGGTGGCTTGTTAATCAAAGAAAGAGAAAGCTACATACTGAAGTTCTGGAATCCAGCACCTCAGCTTCACAACAGCTGTGCACATTTAAGATTATGCAATCCGACTGATGCCTGAATGATCAAATCACACTTAACAGTTGTTCCGTTTTGATATCTTCAACATCCCATATCGATAAAAAGGTCCCTAATACAGAAGATTGTGCTAAAGAATGCAAGGATTCTGCATGCTGTTTTCATTCCCTTGGTCCTGTTCATGCTTGCAGCTGTCCCATGAGGCAGCAGGGGAACAGTCTGGTTTTCAAAACGCCACATCATAAAAACTGAAAGAAGAACACTGAGCATTAATGAAAGCACGTGTCAAAAAAAGACTGAGTTGCAAGCGTGAGTCTATTGCTCTCAGAGCAGCCAGACAGTTCAGCATTTTACCTTTTCCCCCCCACCATGTCCTCTCTTAATAGAGTCCACATTCTTTCAGGTTGTTCTTAATGATAACATCAGTAACAGCATCAAACACAAACTGCACATTCTTGGTATCAGTGGCACATGTGAAGTGGGTATAAATTTCCTTGGTGTCTTTTCTTCTGTTCAGATCCTCAAACTGACACTGAATGTATGCAGCTGCCTCTTCGTACGTATTGGAGCCTGGAACATAAAGATACCTTACTTTAGCTACATGTTTGCAGTAGAAAGTTTATCTCTAAAAATGTTCGGCTTCATTTTTGCTTGAAGGATAAAGGCATGGCTGTAAGAAGCTGCAAATTCAAGATTAGCCCTTCTTTTTAAATGGCCTAATGATCTTCCCATCTCTGTCACTGGCTTCCTGTGTGACCCTGGGCAAGTCATTTTAAAACTTCTGTCTTGGTTTCCTCATCTGTAAGATGGGGATCATGACACTTACCATCTTCACAAACAGTTTTGAAATCTACTGATAAAACACTGTATAAAATTATTAATAAAGCATCACGCTAGAAATACACAATCGCTTACATCGCTAAATTGGGAGTAGAAACAACTGACAGGAGTGAATGAATCTAAAGAGGTCTAAATCATTTGGGCTATGAATACACAATTTGATCAGATAGCAGATAAAAGAACTATGCAAAAGAAGGGCTGCAAGGTTCAACCTCTTACTCAAGGCAGGATCAGCCTTCTCCTGACGGTAGCAGACAGGCTCTCATCTAATCTGTTAAACGCTTTGTGAATAACCCTCACACAGCCACCAGGCACAATCCTGGCAACATCAAAAACACCCTTTAACTTGCTGCAGGTAAAGCAGGAGGGACAAGGCCACCATCAGTGTTCTGCCTTTACAAAAAGCCAGGAAGTCGTTTGTTAAAATACCCTCAAGAGATCCACGGAAGAGAACTATGTTCCCTGCTAAATCTCCAGGTGCAGCCCAGTCCAGCCCCCTGGCAGGAAGAGCCTGGCACTGCCCTGGCCCCAGCCCACCCTTGCCTCATGCACACATCTGGGGACACGTCCCCCATGCCCTCCCAGGGTGCATGCGGTGGCAGGGTCACTACCCCCTCCCTGCACCCCCAAGACAAGTCGCTCGCAGCTGTCCCACACTCCGCCCCAGCTGTGCAGCACTTGCCCCTCTCCCTCCCTCACTGCAGGGGCTTCAACCTGCACCCCCCTACACCCCTTCCTCCACAACAGACTTACCAGCCAGACAGTGCTCTCCACGCTCTGCCCGGCTGCGTAAGTTAGCAATCAGATCAGTATCAGCCAATATGGCTCCAAAAAATAAATAAATAAATAAATAAAATCAATCAGCCACTGATACTGGCCCAAAAGAAATCTCTATTGGTGCACCCCTACCAGTAAACCCCTACTGTTGGTTTAACTCCCAGCAAGAACACTGGCACATCCCAGTCAACCTCCAGCCTTAACAGTGGCTAACCCCAAATGTTTGAGGAAAGCAAAAACGCCCAACACACAAGTAACAAAGTGGAAGGGGGAAATTCCCTTTAAATGACCTTGTTGTTGTTATTATTATTATTTTATTTTTTTTCTTTTTAAAAAGAGAAGGCCTACCAGCCACACTAGTGAAGATGTTCCACCCATGCTTTTGGAGTACAGATGTAATATGTACTCTAATGCAAGGGAGGCTGTGGTTTCTAATGCATATGAGTTATCTAGACATCTTTTATAATACCTTCAGTACTGACATTGAGGTAAAAAGACTTTCCTTATAAGGACCCAAGATGCAGAAAAACCTCACATTTTCCAAACATGCTTCCAGCCAATGAAACACGTGGACAATAGCTCAACAGAACCAGGGGGAGAAGACCTAGTTCTAACTTTGCCACAGGTGGACAAGCCCATACTCCTTCTAAAATCAGAGTGATCTGAAGTGTTCATTTCAACGGATCAGCACAAGACTGAGCTCACCCCTGATCCCAGCATTACCTGTGTACTCTGGGTAGCAGATTGTTAGTGGGCTCTTCTTAATCTTTTCCTCAAACAGGTCTTTCTTGTTGAGGAAGAGGATGATGGAGGTGTCTGTAAACCACTTGTTGTTACAAATGCTATCAAACAGCTTCATGCTCTCATGCATCCGGTTCTAAAAAGCAGTTGGAGAAAAAAAGTGCATCATTCCAACAGTCACTTGGGAAAGGTGGGTTGTTTGATTATCTTTAGAAGAAAGCCGTTGGCATTAAAATACAAAACATGATAGCTAAACTATCCAGTGATCTCGAGGTCCCTTCCAGCCTCTAATATCTATGGAGATATTAAAACTGTGTACTACGCAGGAACTGATAACAAGTGTCATACAAGGGAAGGTCAGGAAATTTATGTTGTGTCCGGTCATAACTAGAGGTCAGATCAGAGAAGGTCTAATCCCCATTCACTTTAGTTTTTGTCAGTTTACCATCCCGTAACCTTTTACTAGGGTTGGCTTTTCTTCCAGTCCAAGAAATGCATTAGTGCTTAACAAAAACAGGCAGCAATAACAGCAACCTCACAATCAGAACATTTTGGGGTTTTTTAGAAAGCCGAGGAGAAAAACATCAATTCCCTCTAGTTTATTATTAAACTTGTGGTGCTACGGCCAGACCTCTTAGGAGACATGCTGCTCTCTCACAACATCCCAAAGAGAGCACAAAACAAAGAATATTATGTTGATAGGTCCTTAAACTGAATACAGTCTACAGCAGCTTGAAACTAACTTCCACCTCAATTATCTCACTGCAGGATGCAGCCACGTGTTAATAATTCCAAAGGAACGTACCATCTCTTCATCCTCGGCAAGGACAAGGTCATAATCACTGAGGGCTACGCAGAATATAATAGCTGTCACACCTTCAAAGCAGTGAATCCATTTCTTTCTTTCTGATCGCTGGCCACCAACATCAAACATCCTGAAAGAGGGAAGAGAAAAGTGGCTCAGATATTATGCAATGCTCACCTTCTTAACTGCATGATGTGGCGAAGCTTAAAGAATTTAAGTTCTTTCAGACAAGCAGAATGTAGTAGAAATTTAGAGATACAAAGCCTTATCATTAATAAGGCCAGCAGAAACTCAAATCTTCCTATTCAGAGATGTGTCCCCCCAGATAAACTATATTTTAACTTAAAATATGAAGCTTTGTTTCCAGCAGGAAGAGCTAAATCTTAAAAGAAAGCCTTTGTTGTAACACTAACTAGGGTAGAAAGGAGCTTGCTACTTCATCTTGGCACTCTGCCTTGGTTGTTTTAACCCCTGTAGAAGTAACCCAGTTGCTTGGGCTGGACTCGGAGCACCCACTCTACACAGTTCAATTATTCCAACTAACTAATGTGCTTGGCAGCAAATACTATGGGTAACATGACCGGCACCTTACTACTGAAACACATGGGCAAAATGTAAGAGGTTGGGTGCTGTAGCAGTTAAATATATAATTAATGAGATACTAGATTGGAAAGGTTCAGAGAAAGGGAATCTAAATATTGCAAGAAGATTTCTAGCTATAAACAAAGATGCTAGTTTCCTGGAAAATTACAACAGTCCCTTCTCCAAACTGTTGCGGAAAGAGAGGCAATATTCCCCACTGTTTTCTGACTGGCTGAGATTATTAATTTAAATCACGTCAGACAAGTCAATATCCAAGAGCTATGGAAACAAAAATCAATGTTTATGATTATCAGAGCAAGCAGGCAGAGAAAAGAGAAACTATTCAGAGTCTGCCAAAAGTAATACTATTTAATGATTCCAACAAAAGGAGCCAGAATTGTGGTTCAGTGACTCCAGACTTTCATTTAAGATAAGCTGTCCCAGTGGAACATAATAGGAAAGATGGAATTTTGTATGAAGTTACAGCCTTTTTATTTAGCCGGCAGTGTTCTCTGTTACCTCTGCTGTTATTGCAAAGCAGCAGTGACCTCAGAGCCCAGCTTCTCCAAGGTGATCCTGTATTCAAGTCAGACATCTCAGTCTGTTATTGGAGTAAAGTCCCAAATTTAGCACCATATTTTTAGCATAGGATGATGGGTAGATAAAGTAAGCTTTGAGGAAAATGACTGCAGCTTTGTGCTTAATACCTACCTAAACACTCTCCTTAGTAGGCAAGTCCCCTAAGATGGGAAGCATAACATCCCAATTCTGATGGATGCCCAATCAGTCTGAGAAAGCCTTGTGAGCCCTGCATAAGCCAGTTTCTAAAGGTGACGTATGCTTCCATAGTGCTACTATTCCACCACTGATCTAACTTACTAAAAATTATTTAGCAACATGGTAAGAAACTCCATACAAATCCATGTGTTCCAAAAATGCCTCTTGGCAGAATATTGCCTACACTCTTCCATCTTAAAGTCATGTACCTTCTTAGTATTGGTGGCCATGAAACCATCTTAGATGAAGAAAACGATAGTGGCTCTATGTCCTTTTGGGTACTGGAAAAGGCTGTAATACCTTAGAAAGGATCTCCATAGTGTACATTAGATAGCATGCCAGTTAAGTTCTAATCACCATCACTGCAAAGAAATGGTTAAACTATCATGCCTGCTACCTCTAGCCCAATATCCCATTAGGCAGAAACAAACGGCTTTTAAAAAAAAAAAAAAAAAAAAAGAAAGAAAGAGCACTGTACACTACTACTGGTAAATGTTAATCCTAATACATCATGAAAGAAGATACTCTTCCCTGGAGCTAACCAGCAGCCATAAAAATAGCTCTGTGATGCAAAGTATTCAGCCATTTTCTATTAACCAGTTAACAAATTAGAAGCCAAGACAGCTTTGTTCCCCAAGAAGCATGCAGCCGAATTGTGCCGGGAGCCCAAGTGCATAGATTTTTGCTACGCCTCTTTAAAACCTGGTTTTGTAATGAAAAATTAAAATCATGGCTGGCAAATGAATGATTGTTTAAAAGCCTTATATAACAAAGGCTCAATGACAACCTTCCAGAAAAGGAAGAGAGCTCGACCCAGAACACAAATACTGCATTTTTTTCTGACACTGTTGTACCGAACTGATATCCACCAAGTAAGGGCCTAGCTTTGTGAAGGACATGCTTGGGATCCAAAGCAAAGGTTGGTCTACAAGACTAGGTAAAACAGCTAGGGAAAAGTGCGCCACCCCCCCCATCTCTCAGGGCTGGTATGAAGGATACAGGGAACTCATTACTCATACTTAAAGGGACACTGTCAAGATGAGCTGAATATCTCAACCACTTCAAACAGTTTTATTTTTTTTAGACTAGAGGACACATCCTCTCCACTACACTGTCATACAAAGGCAGCCATTCTACCCCCCACCCCCCTTACGCATGCCTTTTGCTGCTCTGCAGCAGTAGTTAGTCAGCACAATTTCATCCACAGCTTTGCTACGGATGCCATGCAGTCCAGACAAAAGCCCCACAGGGCTGAGCCTGCAGGGAACGGCTCTTATCCTTACATGTCAAATGAAGGGGTTAAAGCATTCAGATTATAACCAGGAGCCAACAGTGTCCTTTTAGTATTCCAGAACCTATAAATAAGCATCCAGTACCTGCGTCTGTGCTTCCAACATAAAAGCAGCTGGAAAGAACAAAAGAATGCAAATAAAAGTCAAACTGGCAACTCAAGTGAGCAACTCCAGTAAGAACAGAGTTTAATACAAACTACAAGGAACTGTATGCAATTACTTGAAACACGAATAAACAGAAGGCTCCACAGTACACACGAGGGAAACTAGATACCCACCATCAGCTGAGCACCAGGTAACTCTCACCTAGACAAAGAAAAAGTGCAGTCTGCAGAGATGAATGAGGCCCCACCGTGCACCATACTCACTTGAAGTACAGGTCTTTGAAGGTGAAGTGAGTTTCCACAATGCCTGTAGTTTTAACTCTGGTCCGCAAAACATCTTGCTGAGTTGGAATATAGGTCAACTGAGATATTCTATCCAAGTCATTTAGGTAACTGAATGAAACACACAACACAAGACAGGCTTTTTTGAGTCTCCTTAGGCTATGAATCTTTTATAAAATGCAGAAGAAAGCCTCAGTAAAATGCATTAGTTTGTTGGGTTTTTTTTAAAGCACAGCATGAATCTTAAACATACGTGACATACAGATCTGTCTGTGTGCAGGCCTGGCCCCTGGATGTCTTCTTGGATAATTTGCCTAGGATTGCCTGTCCCTATTCTTTACGCTTACTAGGACAGGAGTGACCATCCTGCAGGCATGGGTGCCACAACTGGCACGGACAGCAAAGCAGAAAGTAGAGCAGCAGATCAGGCAGGGAACAGAGGGCTGGGAGCAGAAAAGCAGAGCAGCAAAATGGATGGAGGAAGGGAATCAAAATGACACTTAGGGAAGATGCAGGGCTAATTTGTGGTATGTCTGCCAAAAAGGTTAGCCCCCACAAAAATAGGGCAACAGTCAAGTTTCCTGCTAGTTCAGAGAATAAACTTCTCAGCCATATTTCTTATTAGGTATTAGCACAACTGCATCTGACAAAAGTAGCTTCATTACATTTCTTGTGAAGGAACACTTCTGCTGGGAAGCACGAAGATCCTGACTATTTCTAGCATAGCAGAAAAAGCTGAACTATGTTCCAGACAGCCACTCAAACCTAGGTGTAAGACACTGGTGGAAAAGCAACTACACAAACAGGAAAGCCAAGAAAATGAGTACAGTACATTAAATAGCACTGACAGTAAGTATTACACTCTGAACACGTTGCATCCCATAGGCAGAAGAATGAAAGTGCTACCTGAAGGGCTGGTAACCAACAGCCTGACATTGATAACAAGCATGTGACTAGCCAGTGAATTATTTAAGCAGATGCTCTGCAACCTCCATTTGCACTTTCATAACCTGCTCCCAACACTGTCAGGTTTCAGCCTCAGTCCTTTCGGAGGGAACTAAACTAGCCTGATCAGCTTTTTGCAGCAGGTGAGAAATTACATAGAATTAGACAGTTTTTACTACCAAGTAAATTGCAAAATCCCACACTAATACAAAACGACACTCCCCTGGGTCTAGCGAACCTCATTCCACTAATGGCTGATATCCGAATTTTCCAACTAGACAAAAATTGTTTGACTGTTCAGTCCAGAGAGAATTTCAAGGGCAAGTAAATGTTAAGACTCAATGACAGAGTTTATCCAGGCTATTAGGCAAATGTGAAAACATACTCATTCAAGGTGCATGCTGCTGTGAACCCATATGAATTGCAGAAATGTATTTTAGAATGACTGGAACAATAACAGCAATCACAAATGTCTCTTGACACTAGAAAGTCTTTGCACTTCATTCAGTTTCCCCCAAAAGCACACGTATGTTGTGAATTGGCCAAGTGAGCTCTCTCAGCACCCTTCTTTGTCATCAGTTGCTCGTGACCTTCTCGGGGAAGAAGAAACAGTACCATCTGACGGCAGTGCTAATCAAGGGGTGTGTGTATGGGGAAGGGAAGCTTCACACACTACAGGTTTCAAAATCCTAGTCAGGTTCTGACTTTTACTGGATTTGCGTATCACTGCTCAAAAATGGCAGACATGCCAGGACAGAAGGGAGGAATGGGGGTAGTGCACAGGCCAAACCAATAGCCTCTATTTATCACCCACCGTTTTCTCACTACTGCAAAATTTAAACTTTACTCAAATGCTTTGTTCCAAGAACCACTGGGCTAAATCCTACTTCACTGCACATGCCCACATGATGGGCATCTGGCTATAACTGCAGACTTTGGCACTTGTGCAATTGGTGATTTGGCACTGCTGGCACTAGCCTACTGAGTATGGCTCAGTAAAGCTAAGCTCCAGCTGGGCAGCTATGCAGTGAAATAAGATTGCCCAGGTGTGTGTAAGGCTGGGCAAGTCTGAAAACCAGTCAGGCAAAAACCACAACTTACAGGTGTTAGACACTGTGGGGGCAAAAGGGAAGGGCAGACAAGACGAGGTAAGTAGGAAGAGAGGGCAGAGGATGTGTAGCTCACTAGATGGCTACTGCCCTGGGAAGGCATTACTCTCAAAAGACAGAAAGCTTTCCAAGGGCTGTTTATCTAATGAAGAGCAGATGTAAGGTGCTGGCAGTCAGCCTCAACAGCAAGGCTGGAGAGGAGTCTGGGTAAGGCCTGGTCCATGGCCTGGTGGTTAGAGCACTTTCCTAGGTAACAGGATATGAAGATTCAGACCCACTCTGGATGGGTCTCAAAACACAAAAGTCTTCTGTCCCATGGGCAGGTGCCCTAACCACCAGGCTACTGATTATAATAGGAGGGGGCTCTTCTTTAAAAAAAAAAAAAAAAAAAAAAAATACTTCCAGCAGGTACACAAAGGGCATTTCTTGCCAAAAAGGGAAATAGGACCCCAAGGGGTGGAAATGCCAAACATCACAGTTACGCAATGGCACACACAAAGTGAGACAGGATTTAGCCCAAGACGCAGGTCTTCCTATATGCCTACTCAGTTTAACGAGGCCCCTTCCCGACTCAAGCACACAGGGATTGCTACCATCCCTGTAGCTGAATACAAACTAAGGCTGCAACTAGAGAGGGAGCAAAATCTTTCAATGGAAGCCCAAAGTTTGCCCAAAGGCTCCCAAACTTTTCTAGGCAAACCAGTGTCAATCTGGCCTGCGTCAGGATTTCTTATGTCCCATCTGAAACCATGAAACTAGACATCTTCAGAATAGTCTAAACCCCAAAGTTAGAGAACAATGCAGCAATGTGGAAGGCTGGTTTCTCTCACAGCTCTGCTAAAAGGAGAAACCAGATTTTGGGAAATCAATGAGCTGGACAGGATTCAGCTGGCAGCTAGAACAAACTCCCCCTCCTTCCCAAGTTCACATGAGCACCGTGATGGCATTTTCCTAACAATGCAGTCATGTTTCCTTTAAATGCTGGGAAGAATGCTTTCAAAGCTAAACAAATGGCTGAAAGCTCCAAGAGATTCATACAAAGCATTTATTATGAAAGACACTGTAGGCTACTGAGCAAGAGAGGGACTGTCACTAACATGCCTCTAGGGAAACAGAGAACACAAAAGGCTGCCTTCAGACTCACAGTAAGGAGAGGTCACAAGAGCCATAAAACCTGCAGGGAAGTATTCAGGTGGTTCAAGATGTAAAACTACTGAGCTTCATGCTTTCTGGAGAGGCCTTGCCAAAAGGCCCACACCAGCATGAAAAAAGAGAACCAGAAAGGTCTTCCTGAGACTGGCTGGATGCTCTTTTTTGCTTACTTGTGAGCAAAGGACACAATTCACCCATTCTTACTATCCTCTGTAGCCAGTCTTTTTGGATCTGAAAACAAAGTCGTGTTCAGGAAAGATGACCCAAGTTCAGGAGGTGTCCAGATAGGGCAGGGACAGGCAATTATTTCAGGTGGAGGGCTGCTTACTGAGTTTTGGCAAGCCATTGAGGGCTGCATGACAGGCAGCCAGGGGCAGATAAATATTAATTTTTCTAAATTTTTTTAGGGGTCCCTGCGGGCCAGATAGAATGGCTTGGCGGGCTACATCTGGCCGGCGGGCCACATTTTGCCCACCCCTGAGATAGGGTGAAACCCACCTCACTGGCTTTCCCTGTCTGGCTATGCTTACTTGAAGCCATTTGTCACATCCATTGCCCTTGCAAAAAGTGACCTCCAGAATCCTCAACGAAAGGGAAGGGCAGATTTAGTTAAGTGCGCCTCCAAGGAAGCAAGATGCCAAACCAAGTACAAGCGTAAGTCTTCAGATTCCCTCCCTCCCCAGATAAGTATAATTTAATGCGAGAGTCCTAATGGTCATTATGCAACAGGCAGTAAAATGTACCATGAAGGAACAAGGAAGTAACACCCCCCAAAAAACTCTTCACAGGTATATCAAGGTTTTGCTGAATTCAGGCTTAAGCTTCCAGTTGAGAATTAAATCAATACATGCTAGAAACAGAGACTGGTTTACAAAAAGTGTGTTAATTGCTTATGGAGCAGTACAGTTTGCCACTGTAGATCAGAGCCTAGATGAACTTCCAAAAAAACCCCATTAGATCTGAACAAGCCAAGCTAGTCTAATTTCAGAGTGGTATCTTAGCTAGCTATATTTTAAGCAGTAAGAAGGACAACTGCAGCAAGAGATATGCATAACAGCATTGAGGTACAAAAGCACAGGGTTATCCTTCAGGGCCAGGCCTCCTGTAATAGCATATAGTGGGGAGAGAGGGAGCAACCTTTTTTGCAGGTGAGCCACAAAATTAGCTCCACACTCTTCAAGTGCCACTCCAGTCCCCTTCCCTTATCTGCTGTCCTTCACCGTGCTCCCTGCCACTGCTTTCTACCCTATCTGCCACTGTCCTTCCTGTTCTCTCCCTGGTCTGCCATGTGCCAGGCACAGAGGCTGCCTGTGGCACTCATACCACAGGTTGGCCACCCCAGCCATATAAGCATGCTGCTGGCTTACTCACTTAAAGAAAGTCCTGAATTATGATTTTATTCACATTAAAAGCTTTGTCTGTCCTTTAGAAGGAGGACATTTGTTGCTGGAAGTACCCACTAGATACAGCCCAAGTATCAGTACCAATACTACATTTGTGGTGCAAGACAGAGCAAACAGTAAGTGCTTCTTACTATGATGCAGAGTCATTAAGTTGATATTCTCTAGATCTGCTGAAGCAGGCCTGAACCCCAGCATCCCTCCATAACCGTTTAATCACCCCAGCAAGTTCAGGAGTCATTACTCCTTCCTCCGCACTGCCGGCTAATACAAACAACTGGCGGGCGTCATCCTGCAAGAAAAGAGCAACCCAAGTCAGTAAGTGTGACACTTTAAACAACAGTTTTACCCATAAATACCTGCACTAGCAGCTGTGATAGATGCCAGAAACAGTCATACACTAGTAAGGCCAGGTTCCCTTCCCCCACCTCATCCACTAGTCCATCAAGTCAACACTCACTTTTCAGCAAGAAATGCACGGACTGAGCAAACAGCAAGCTTCCCAAAGCCCATACAGCATCAGGGAATTTTAGGTGTGCCAACCAGAAGAGGGTGGCAGCCTGTAGCATGCAACACATACTGTGATTCTTATCATTTCAGTAACATTTACATAAAGGCAACATGAACCTTCAACATTCCCCCTTATATAGTCCATTTCTCCAGCAGTGCTACAACAGAATGCCAATACTGTACAACAGACTAATGAACAAATAACTTTTTATGTCTAAAACTACATTTAAAGTGTAATCAGGAAGACAGCACTGCATTATATTGGAGTAAAGAAAATTCAAGTACGAAAAGAAAACCTAGGATGATTACAAGCTTAAAGTTTTGACGGACTGTCATCTCATACACAGACTGTCAAAAATAAATGTGATACTGACTTCTAAACTAAAGCATTTAGGCAGACAGAATGGACTCAGATCAGGACTCGAGTGTATGCTTGCACCAGATTATGTGAAACACTTATTAGAAGACTCAGCCTCTCGCTTTTCTATAGGGAAATTAACAGCCAGATTTGCAACTAAAAAAAAAAAAAAAGGCTGACCTACATCTTACAGACTTCTGCTTCTGCCATGATGCAACTTCAAACAGCAGCTGATGAAGCGAGCTCTAGCCCACAAAAGAGTACTTTATTATATGTACTTTATTTAGTCTACAAGGTGCAAATCTATGCTGCCTTCCACATGATGCAACTTCTGCCAGCTCTGCTTAAGAGCTCCTCAACTACTTCAGAAAGTTTGTCAAATTTTAGTGACTTCCTCCTACTGGTGTTCACACTCCTGAAATTAGGCCTTAAAAAAAAAAACCCAAAAACAGCTGCAAAACATACAGTTCACCATCAAGTTTCAGCCATCCTGTAATGTGGGGGTCCATTTGTTTTCATGCCTAAAGTAGGTCTTCATTGCAGTCAGTCCAAGGAATAAATACCTGGGTTAGCATAGCTTTGGGTTGAGCACGTACACTGCAGATATACCCAAGTTTTTACGTCTTCACTGGTAACACACTCCCTCGTGTTCACTGGTAGGACTTATGGGGGCACATCTCATGGTTTTGTGGGCTGTAGTAAGATGAGAGATCTTGATTCTCTCGTAATGAATTTTGAGAGTACTTGTTTGCCTTTCCGTGCACATGGGGAATTTGGGAAAATGCATTAAACAGGACTGGCAGCATTTGAGTGATTTAAGCCTACATTCTTATGGCAAGGTGGTGATCACCAGTCAAACTGAGAAGGATTCAGCCTCTAGCTGCCTCACCCCTTGCCCCAGCTCATCAGTTAACTTGGGCTGAAGGCACCATTGAACCTGTGGGTACAGATGAAAGGAGAGGAATCACCCAGGTCAGCCCTCGTGGAAACATACCCCTCATTGAGCAAACAGAATTTTACGGCTTGTGTCCAAACTTGCATGTTGGAAGTCAGCCACTTCTCAGTTACTGCAGGCTAAGATTAAGACCATGCAGAGAGCTGGGGAGCAACAAGGGTACTGTAACCTGTTATAAACCAGCAACTTCCCTCGGTAGACAAGCCCCTCATGTCCTCTCCACAGCTCCTTTATTTCTGTAGATGTGTCACACATTTACTGCCTCTGACCTTTTCTAAAGCGTGCTGGGATCTCCCCTTCCCTCCCATTTGAGCAGAGAAAAATGCCAGGAAGTTTACTAGACAGTAAGGATTAGAGGCAGGAGACTGGATTTTAGTGATGTCAGAGGAAGGAACTGGGATTTGGGAAGGAAAAAAAGGAAAGTCAAAGATTTTTAACTGTTTTCCTTATTTCAAAAAACTTGAGGGTTACAAAGATTACTGATCTAGAGCACGGCTGTTCAACTGGCAGCCCATGGGCTGCATGTGGCCTCTGAGGGGTCAATTTGCAGTTGCCAGGCTTTCCCCAGCTGCCACCTCACCCCCACCATTGCTCCAGCTGCAGCAGCAACCCGGGCCCCTGGGCTCCCCCCTCCCTCTTCTAGCCTCCACATCCTGCACCCATCCCAAGGAGCAGGGCAACACAGTGCAGCCCCCAGTGCCAGGGAGCCAAGGGTAAAGACAGGGCATTCATTCAGCATGGGTGAGCAGGCTGCCCCAGGCTCCTTAGACATAGGACACTGATCTTGATTAAACTGTAAAATAGTATAGCTTCTTGAAAATTTACTGAACATTAATGCAAGAGGGCAAGTACTTTAAATGAAACCCTACATCAGATTTTTGTTAAAAATGGAACAAATCTTTCTTAACAAAAAGCTAGAAAGATTACAAGACTGCAATAACATACTCTATATAGGATGTTACTAATGCTTTACAGATTATCAAATATATTCCACTACTCTGTCTTGTCGTTTAAACATACTTCCAATGCACGTTCTGTAGACTGAACTTCTGGGGTTCATTAACATGCTCTACTGTACAAAAATCAAACCAGGGGAAATGAATGAAATACTTACTGCTCTGGCAACTTCCCCAAAGTCTATCTTTAGCCTTCCCATGGCTCTTATTATTGCAATGATAGACTGGATAGTATTGCTGTAGACAACCACTTTGTACTGTTTGCATTCTTCCTCAGAATAGCCATCCTCATGAATAATCCTGGAACAAAAAAAAGCCATCACCATTAAGCCAAACCAGGCAGACATTTCATATTTCTTTGTGCAATGTAGAATCACAATTTATGCACAAACTTCAGCCAGTGACTCCTTACTTACTTCATCTGCTTCACAATTGTGCTTTTACCAGATTCTCCAGCACCTGAAAAGGATTAAAAAAAAAAAAAAAAAAAAAGAAGAAAGTTAGTGTTTAACTGAAGCCGACACCTATTGAAACAGCCTCACATCTAACTATTGATTCAGATCAAAAAGAAAGAACTTCACTGTGACAGCTTGTTGGTTAAAGATCACCATAACAGCAATTCCCTGCAGTGATTCACTTTTCTGAGAAAGGCTCCCTAAGGAGACCCAGCTCTTAGACACCTCGGTCCCTTTTGTTGACAGATGCCAACAACAATTATGTGCCAGTCTCTATGATCCTCAACCAGGGTGCCATAGCATGGGTACCTTTCAAGGATGTTGTGCTAACACCACTGCCAGGTAGATATGCCCCATGCCCCTCTGCTTCTGGAAGATGCTGTGTGGAGCCGGACCCAAAAGGGGCTGTGGTAGGAAGGGGCATCTCACTGCTGCCTGGCTTGGTGGGAGATCAGATAGGATGCAAGGTTGGCAAGATCAGGGATAATTTCAAACTGAATGCAAACAGGTCCTTATCTCCAGGATTTTCCTGGGACTTCAAAATCTGCCAACTGTAGGCTCAGGAGTATTTCAAGAATAACCAAAATAATACAGCAAGATCTAAATGTGCAGTTGGCTTCTAGTTCCCTGCAAGGGGAAATACAGGGCACTAAAATACAGTGCTTACTCCACAGGCAGGCTTGGCAGGATTAGCATTTACTGATTTAAAAATTGAATTTCACCTGGCACTCTCAGACCGACAAAAAAGTTTTTCCATTGTTACACATCAAAATTTGCAGAAAGGGTACGTAAGAAAGATGATGGCTGACGGAGTGGGTGATGACAGGGGGAGAAGTCCTATAGAACCATGCTGGCTATAGTTTGGACTGCAGCTCCCAGAAGCCCCAGGGGATTGGGAACAAAGGAAGAGGAAAGGACAAAACAGGCCAGAGAGCTACAGGTGGGTAAAGCCAAAGCTGATGGTAGCTCTGCCACTCAGCTGGCAGCAGTCCTACAGTAGTTCTGCGTCTCGCTGTGGGTGGTTAAACACGCCCAATTTTGCATAGTAGGTGGTTAAACACCCCTAATTTTGCACAGTCCTGAAATTTTAAGATTGATAAAAATAGAAACAAAATAGTTAAACGCTGATATTATCCAACAAAACATTTTTTTTAAATTGAATTGCCAAGCCCATGCACAGGTGATAGGTGGCTGATAGTAACCAGGCAGCTAAGGCCCTGTATAGCACTGGTGTTAGTATTCTCTTGATCGTCTGAGGGGATTAGGAACCAGATTTTTATAGAATAAAATACACTGTGGCTTTTCCTGTGGTTTTAGATAATTTTACTTTATGCCGATTTCCTGGGACAGAACAAGACAGACAGAGCTCTGAATTTCCAGGGGCTTTTTTTTTTTTTTTTAAAACACTAATCATTACACTATCAACTTGGAACATGGGACTGTAAAACTGGGGTGTATTTAACTTCATATACTGGACTATCTATTATTCTTCTCTTCCTGGAGCAGTATACTAATGATTTCCCAAGGTAGTCCTGCCATTACACACATGAACATTGATAGTGGATACACTAGATAGAGAGCAGCCTAAGTAAATGCGTTAACACTGAATTATGTGAATATAATTCAGCCACAGGTCTCAAAGCTCTTTACAAGCTACAAATCCTAACCACTATATAGGAATTTCATATTTCAGAAGCAAGGAGGGGTGGGGAAGAGAAATGAATACTGAAGTCCCTTGGCAAGATAGCAGAGAAGTTTTAATGCCTGCTTTCCTGCTAATAGTCTCTAGTCAGCAAATGATTCCCACGTGCAAATGCTACTATCAGGAAGGCCAAGATTTTTCACCACAGCAGATATAAATAGTAATGTTTGAACTGATTGATAAATGTGTATTCTAAATAATTTCCTACACCACAGATCATCATCTGAGAAACTCGGGAGGACAAAGATCCACAGATTTAATTATAAGTGAGAGTCTGCCTCAAAAGCGGAGTTTAGGAATAGGCATTTTTTTGCACAAGCATACTGAAACAAAAGCATAGTCTTAAAGAGAGCCACAGGATCCAACATTTACTTAGAGCAAACAGTGTAAAGCCCCATCTAAAAGGCATGCACTAAATTACTGAGCTCAGTAAGCCAACTCCAAAGGCTTAAATCAAGCTTACCTCAATCTGGCTTTACAATTGTAGAATTCATATTATTTTAAGACGAATGATTAAATGACGCAACCCCCTGTTCTCTCCTAGCATGGGGAGACCAGATGGCTCAAACATAAAGACACTATATGACATCAAGTTGGTATGTCCCTATCACTATGAGTAAAACAATCTTTTAATACCACCTTTGTAAGGCGGGTCCTCCAGAATAAGGCAAAAATAAAAGCTCTTACAAGAGTAAAAAAACCCACCAAAAGCAAAAAAAAAACCCCAGCATTTTTCACCACATTTCTACTGTAGTTATGCATTAAGACCCTGGAAAATGTAAGTCCGAAAGACAACATTACAAACAAGGTTTGAAAGAGGACCTCCATTTCACCCTGTTTGTTCCATTTGGTGTTGCACTGGCAATAGAAACCAGGAAATCCAAGCTGCATTTCTGAGGATGAGAGGTGCTTTTGTTATTGCATTTCTTCATTGTGGGGAAGTAACTTCCACCTCTGAGTAAAAATAACTTTGGAATTTTACAGACAAGTTTAACCTTTGTGTCACAACCCAAAGGGTGTGATTTTTGGTTTTGTGTGCTTCGGCACTGCTAAATTGTCCCCGCTAAATTGCAGCTTCTTTGCACGGCGGAGTTTTCTGCTGCAAAGGAGAACCCCGGTGCAAGGGAGAATTTCCCGCCAATTTGGAGCTTTCTTTGCAGGGTGCATTTCTTTGTTGCAGCACAGAAATGCTCGTTGCAAAGAGTTCCCGCCATTTGTATGCTAACTGGAGTCCCATTATTGGCCAGTTCTAAATTATTCACACGTGGCGGCTAGTGATTGGCTTGCTAGCCATATAAGAGGCTTGAGTGGTTTCCGCCCAAGTTGGAGGACTCCACGAACAAGGGAGGAGGAGACTTCACGCTGTGTGAAGATCTCCAAGAGATGCGGATCCTTACGGACCCAGCGCATTTCAAGCAGGCAACAGAGACTGATCAATCTCTAGCTTCTCCCCGTCGCCGATAGATTCCTAGACGTATCCCTTCTCGTGCGCAACGAACCGGACCCACAGAGCCTAGCAAACTTCGTGCGAGTCCTTGCCGGACGACTCCAGAGCTCTTCTACCCGGGTTCGAGTCCTGCAGGTTTATTTTCCCGTCGCCAAAACCCTTTGCGACGTACCCTCGTATTTTCATCTTCCCGTCGCCGGAACCCTATGCGACGTACCCTCGTGCCCTGCAGGTTCGAGTTTTCTTTTCTTTTCTCTCTGTAACCGCAACTTAAGCAAGCTTTCCAGCCTACACCACTGCCATCTCGGTGTAAGTAAACAATCTTTTAAACTACCGCTACGCGTCCGTGCCTAATTCCAGCTCGAAGGCCTTCCCTCTCCGCCCCGGCGTGCCCGGGCTGCTGGCCACAGCCCGCGTGCAGCGCGAAAACGGCTCGGGTCGCTCCCGGCCCGCACACTTTGCTGAAACCTTTTTCAGTTTTTCTTTTTTAATTAAGCCTTTAAAAAACAGTTAAACACAGGACTTCAGCCACTTCCATATGGCCTCAACCTATCTGCTTGAAAACATTAAAAATTAAATATTCACTATACAGATGGAGGTTATGACAACACAAGGAGCAAACATACAAGCACCAGATTGTCTGAACACTTGCACAATAGCCAAATACAATCAGTCACTCACTAGTTATGGACATAAAGTGCCAACTTGCATTGAAAATTGTTGTTACTCTGGGAACAAGGTACCAAGACTGTAACTGCCTTCTTACAGACAATAAAATGTTTCATCTTTTCTGCTATACAGTTGGTGTCACAGCTTCAGGACTCACTGACAAGTCTACTTTCCTGTTCAGCTACCTTATTAAAGATCTGCCCATAGGTCAGTAATGAGATTTTTTTATTTATTTTTTTTTAAAACAGAAATTTCACATTCTGATAGAAAACTTACGTTCAGGTTTGTCATTTGTAGTGTAGATGGTACTTTTATTCTGTCTGAAATAGAACAGTTGAAAACCCCTGGAGGACTGAATGTCTCAGGTACAGTATATTTTACAGCAGGTTAAACACTCAAAGCAGTGTTTAAAACCTATCAGGAGGAAGAAAAGCCTGACAATTAAAGATATTTGGATTCAACTGGCAGCTCCTCTGGAACCACAGGCAAGCCACTTCAAGTCACACTGCTATGAGTCTGCAAGTGAGGACAGCATGTCTAACTCTAAGCCACTTGGCTGCAAGATTATAAACTCTTTGGAGTCCTCTCTCATTATACAGTGCCTTGCACAATGGAGCTGCTTTGGGCTGCAACAATACAAAAATACTGACACTGAAGGGGGAAGTGTTAATCTATGTGGTGGTCCATCCTCCCAAAGTTTTACTATGGAGTATGTCTGTTGATTTAGACTTACCAGGATGAGGCCACACTAAAAAAAACCTGCTTTTGTTGACTAGATAGTGGTACTTCATTACCCGTCTCAGAACCTCAGTTAGCAAGAATAACAATAGCAGGACAAGATTTCTTCCCAAGCAGACTGTGTAGGGCAACTGGAATCAATTATTCATTACTTGGTGGGCAATTAAAATGCTGACTCTGATGCATTTTATCATAAGCAACGATATGCTGCCAAGTCAAAGTTCCTAGGTGTGAGGAAATGAAAGACCATTTAAAACACCAGAATGCTTGGTTTCACTCAGGCCTGTCTCAAGCTATAAAGGATATGTACTAGAGTCTGCTGCTAATGCAATTGAGGGAAGGGAGCATGAAAAATAAGAACGAGGAAGTCTCAAAGGAAGTCCACTCTCTCAAAGTGAGAGCAAACACCTCCCATGCAAGTAAGTGCTGCAGGTTTGAAAAAAACTAAACTAGAAGAGCAGGGACAGGCTCCAA